GTTCACTAATTCAGAAACTCACCTTCTTTCTGTGATAGGACAAGGGGAAAAGGTTTTAAACTAAAGGAGGGGAGATTTAGATTAGATGTTCTCCATCTAGCAGCTGGCAATTCTGCCAGTGGCAGGGGAGTTTATGATCTTTGAGGCCCCTTCCAACACAAGTCATTCTGTGATTCTATGACTCTATGACTCTATGATTCTGTGGACCACGACCCAGGCTGAATACATCTCTGAAAAGCCCATGCAGCAGCTTGGTGTCCCACTGGTGGGACAGACTTCTGACAGAATATCACACAGCAAATGACTCCATTCCTGGGGAGCACTAACATCTGCAATGGAGTAGGGGAACAAGCTAGAAGCACCCTGTGGTCTTCTAATCACGGCTACACCCATGGCTAAAAGAAGCAAAACAGATGCTAATAATTGATTTTTAGGAGGTCAAAAGCCAGGCACTGATAATTGAGGAGCAGCAGGCAAACATTTAGTCTGCAGAGGAGGTGAGGGTTTGTATAGTCAGAAGATCAGGCACAGTGAAGCTTGTGGCATGAGTTTCCTGTCTAAAATGGCTTAATGTGGCACCCCAGCCAAACACATCACTTGGGGCTTTGCAAGCCCAGCCAGGAGCAGGAGTTTTGAGAGCATCTGAGGTAAGACATGCCCTAGGACACTTGTGAATCAGAGAGTGCTGCTGGGCAGCACAAGAGGTTGCCAGCCAGATGGAAAGGTGCTCTGAATCCACAGAGAGAAAAGGCAGAAAAGTTTTAGCCGGGGGGGAGGCTGAGGACAATTGAGTGATACAGGTGATGCAAAACTCACAGCTCTCCTTTGTTAAAAGCCATGCTGGGGAGGGAACCTCAGAGATAGTGAGGTCTGACATCCCCAGTGTCACTAAAGGAAAGGGAGGCAGCACACAAGAGGGGCTGGGAGCTGATGGGACATGATTGCTGTGCTCTGCCTCAGCAGAGAAGGTGGATGTTAGCAAGAGCTGGAGAGCAGTGCTTGCCAGCTCTCACAAACTGTTCACAGACCCAGAAGTCCTCATCATATATGAGATTATAGAAGAGCAGAGGGAGAAGACAATGAGTAAAGTTTGGGTGAAAATTCTTCCAACACAAGACACAGACACAAAAATGAGGGTAGTACCTATTGCCTGGCTGGCCTTACAACATCTCTGACCTCAGCCTATTGCTGCACTGAGGCAGAACCCTTCTGGAGCACCTCCACCTGCATGTCTGCTCCTCTACAGACAGTACAAGGGAGGCACACAGGCACTCAACAACACACCTAGTTTATGTCTGGCTAGTGAAGCAAGAGCTCTACTAAACAGCTAATTAAGAGCTAGTGAGGGAAGGCATGTAGCCTTCTGCCTCTGAGGAACAGTCATGCTGAGAAGTGAATGAAGCGCAGAACGTTTGTTATGAAGAGAGGAATTGTTACTCATACCCACAGTAGCAGAAAGACTCAGGATACTGCCCCTTTCCAGAAAGTGGCAACTATCTGTGTTTTTTTCGTGACTGTCAGCCCTGCAAGGCTTCCATTTGTCTGAAGGACACAGGAGGAGATTTGTCATTATTGGGGTCTGGGGACAGCTGTAGCTCTTCTGGAAAATGAAATCCTGCTCTGAAATAGCTGGTACGTTTCTCAATATTTTTCTTTCCATATCGGGCTGAAAAATCAAAATCTCAGCAAATTTCACAAATGTGGAACAGGTTCAGGGACTGCCTGCATCTTTGCTGCTAAGAAAATGGAAGGCTTCACGCCTGTTTTAAGATCTGTCTTTCTGTATCACTAAATCCAGAGGAGACTAATAAAAACGATCATAAGACTAGAAAACATGACCTAACAGGAGAGATTGAAAAAAAATCTTATTTAATCTGCAGCAGAGACTGGGAGACAGCATGATAGAAGCCCTTCAAACATATGTAGAGAAGATAAAAAAGAGGAAGAGAATAAACAATTCTCCGTGTCCACAAGGGAGATGCCAAGTAGTAATGGGCTTAAACTGCAGTCAGGGAAATCTAGGTTAGACATTAGAAAAACTTTCCAGAGTAAGGAGAAAGAAGGCATGGAAGAGATTGCCTCAGGATTTCATGGAGTTTCTAGCATTGAAGGACTCTCAGAACAGGTGAAACAAACATCTGTCAGAAATCATTTCAGTCTAGTTGATCCTTCCCTTGGGCAGAGGGGGGAACTAAATGACCTCTTGATGTTCCTTCCAGGCACAACATCTGATAATGGATAAAAGTGTGCAGTGCTGTAATTAAAGATTGAGCAATCATGAATGCACACAAGTGGACTGAATTAGTGTTTGCCGTCCAGCTACTCCTGTCTCTCATCTCCTATTGCCTGTGTGTTTGACTGGGAAATTCTCCTGTTCTTCACAGTTTTTTCTTTGTATTACCCAGATGTTGCTAGGATGAAACATCTTGCTAATTTCACAGAAATTAGTGAGATTTGGGATGATTTTACACTGCCAAGCAATTCACTTACAAATATATTTGGATTGTGTGCTAATAATATATGAATAATTTATGGTTTATATTGTGGCATTGCCTGGGAGCTGCTGTTAAGGGCCAGCATTCCACTCAGTGTGCCTCTGCAAACACGGAACAAAATTATGATCTTTGCCACAGAGAGCCGTTTCACTCTTATGTTTTAACTTTTGCATTTCAGCTGAATGGAGAAAATTAATAACAGGATATTGTGATTCCAGCTATGAAATGTGTTTTTTTGTGATCAGAGCATACTGGAGATGATTTCAATGTCTTCCAGGAAGAAAACATTTAAACAGCTTAGAGTGTGATTATAACAATCTGATTTTCACACTGAGATCCCCCTTCAAGGTGAAACATTTGTGCTGAGGAAGTACAAAGGGCTTTTCATACAACTTGTACCATAGCACTAATATCGTAGATCTCATTTCAGTCCAGCCGCAGCTCCTACCAAATGAAGAGCTGTTCTAGCTTAATGCTTGCCAAGTGGTCCCCATAGACAGCAAGGATCAGACAGGTCCCAGGTCCAATCCCCACCACTCAAGCTCACCAGATCCCTTCCCCTCACTGGCTCAGTTGACAGATAATAGATACCCTTTTAGAGACTGAACAGGTCCTCTAAGCATTAATGAAAGCCTCCAAGACCTCACTGAGTGTGAAACATAGCACTGCATGAGAGAAGTAGGGTGAAAACAGGACTGTGTTTAGCTGTGTCCCCACCCCCTCCAGAGTCTGCAATGCATCCCACAATTGCCCACAGCCTGCCCTGCTAACAATCACTAGCAGGGTTTGTGCTGCTACTGACTTGTTTTCCTGCTATGATAACAGACCATTCCTCTGTGAGGAACAGTATCCTCGGTAAGTTTGTAGATGACACCAAGTTGGGTGGAAGTGTCAATCTGCCTGGGGGTAGGAAAGCGCTACAGAGGAACACGGACAGGCTGGATCATTGGGCTGAGGCCAATGGGATGAAGTTCAACAAGACCAAGTGCTAGGTCCTGCACTTTGGCCACAACAGTCCCCAGCAATGCTACAGGCTTGGGGCAGAGTAGCTGGAAGACTGCGTAGAGGAAACGGATGTGGAGGTATTGGTCAATGTTTGGCTGAACATAAGCCAGCAGTGTGCCCGGGTGGCCAAGAAGGCCAGTGGCATCCTGGCTGGTATCAGAAATAGTGTTGTGAGCAGGAGCAGGGAAGTGATCGTCCCTCTGTACTTGGTGCTGGTGAAGCCACACCTCAAGTTCTCTGTTCAGTTTTGGACCCCTCACTACAATAAAGACAAGGAGACCCTGTAGCACATCCAGAGAAGGGCAACAGAGTTGTGAGGGGTCTGAAGCACAAGCCTATGAGGAGCAGCTGAGGGATCTGGGATTGTTTATAGTAGAGAAGAGGAGGCTCAGAGTTGAACTTATCGCTCTCTACCACCTGAAGGGAGGTTGTGGTGAACTGGGGGTTGGCCTCTTCTCCCATGTAACTAACAAAAGGACTAGAGGGAATGGCCTCAAGTTGTGCCAGGGGAGATTCGGGTTGGATATTGGGAAATACTTCTTTGAGAGAGTGATCAGCCTCTGGAACAGGTTTATCTGGCCCTCTTCAGAATGCACCTCTGACAGCCCTCTATTTCTCCATGAACTGTTTCTGACTTTGGCCGAGCAGTCATGGAGAGAAAGCTTTTTCTGGCTAGCAGAACAAGGGGGCATTTTTCTAAGCCATACACATGATCACAATGACTCAGCCTGAGATCTGCTTCATTATCTGTTGAGTGCTCTACTGAATTCTTGCTTTTACAACAACTTCTCATCCCCATCATTTTTCTGATAGTCTTACAACTATCTCCAGCTACCCCCTCTACTCAGCTGATTCAAACCTTTCGGGAGCACTTCTTCCAAGCCCGGACCACCGACATTTATGTGGGAGGTGAAACAAACTAAAGCTTTGCACTAACACAGAAATCCACACCATTTCTAAAATGATGCTTTGGGTCACATACAAATTATTCAGAAATACGCAAATTTAGATATTTGAGCAACTTGATATGATCTCATGTATACATCCTACCTCATACACAAGCCCATTGCAAGTGACAGTGGCCAGATATATCAAGTACAGTTAACAGTGGCATATTACTAAGTGAGGCTGTGGTTCAATCACAGCCAGTTATCATAGAGAACTCCACAGCCTCCAAGCCATGCAGGTAAGTATTTTCCATCTGTGCCACTGAAACTCACAGCACAAAGGAGATCTCTTCTCTGAAAGACAGGAAAATTTATGTCCAGAGGTGACAGAAAGGAAGCTGATGAATTTTTTATGCATGCTAATGGAAGAATGTAATGGCATCCTGCATGGAGATGACAGCAGCTTGGGTACTGGAGATACCAGTGGCCCAGGATGAAAGAAGGAGATTGCCAACTCTTCATAAGTAGAAAAGGTAAGGGGATAACTTGCTCAGAGCCTTCTTCCATCCTCCTCCTGCCTGACACAGCTTGAGAATTACCAAACATGTCCTACCCTCTCCCACTTCCTCTCCTTGGTCAGAAGGATGATCACCAGCTTGGGATGCATCTGGTATCCATCCTCACTGAACGACAAATTCCTGCCTTCGAAGGTGACGTTAATCAGGTACCTGTAGAAGAGAGAAAAAAACAAGATGAACATTAATGCTTGGCAACTGAACCTGAAACAAAAGCCTGCCTCCCCCTCTGCAATTTGTCCAGGGTGACAGAAGTACACTGCAAACAACTCTTGTTAATCTGGGGACAGCAAAGGAAAATCTAAAAGGAAGCGGGTGGTAGAAACAGTGCAAATATTCCAGGAACTGGGGCAATCAGACAAGATAGTGCTCTTGCCCACATTTAGGACTTGGGTACAGAAGTGATGTCCCATGTTAGGCCTCACCAAATTCCTGAAAGCAAGTCACAAGTGTACATGTGCCCACAGTCTTTGATTTCCTCTTTGCACACAGAGCAGAGAAATCCATAGCAATTAGCTGTGTAAACATGGTCCACAGCCTACATTTTGCTCACTCTTCAAGGGGGATTTCACATTTCATTTGAGGATAGCAGTGGTTCACATGTGAAGCAGTGGATACACCCCCTCCCTGCCCAAATATCCAGGCAGCAATAAAGGAAGCTGCAGGGAACAGAGGAATGAACAGTGCACCTGTGAGATACCCTGTTCCTATTAGAGCTAGCATGCCCTACAGGGCCCAAAGCAATCCTCAGAAGCAACTTTGGAACAGGGTCAGAGGGTGCTCAGATAGCCCAGTGGAAGTCCTTTTCACTAGGACAGAGCCATGCCATGTACCCAGCAAGATCAAACTATAGGGTGATCAACCCTGCGGATCCCTGCAGCCAACATTAACGATTCCTTTTGTCTGGAAAGGCTCTGTCGCTGCTGTGTGAGGCACCCCGCTTTGGGCCATCTCATGTCAGCTGTACAAATGGACTATTAAACAGTCCAGGCTTCAGTCTCATTTATCCTCAGGCCTCTTCACTCAGCTCCGGCAGTGGGGAAGACCTTTAAGTAGACCGAGATTACAACTACACTCATTTCCAGGCATTTCTGCATTGCAAGAGCATGTTGAAGTGGTGTTGCTGTAAAAGGGAATCAGATCCATTGTTTTCTTAACTGTCAGACCATCCAGAATGACACTGTGGGGAAGGCAAATACACATTTCACAGTTCAGTGGCTTATAAGAAAACTCCGTGGCACTCTGACAGTTTCCCCCGTTCATATATTTCACTTCAGTTCACAGTCCTGTTTCATGAAGTAGGTTTTGCCTTTGTACACCTGCTCTAGCACCAATAGCATCACATCATGGGAGAGGCAGAGGTGACTGAGCTGCCTGCAGGGCAGCCCCAGGACACTGCCCGCCTCTGCTTCACCCATTCCCCTGCTTCACCCATTCTCCTGTAAATTACACAAGTAACATTTCCATTACAGTCACAAGAGGCTCTTCTGCTCTATTACACCCATGACACTAGCAAATATTTCCTAATACTCAGCTTCAGTTTGTCCCTTTGAACTTAATTTGAACCAATTTCAAGGGAAAAACAATAAAATCAAAAACACAAAACAAATTCCTGTTCTTTCAAGGGGTTCGCACTTTCCCACAGAGAACTCCATACTAATTTAACAAAAGTATAGGTAGTAGACAAAATTTTTCAAACAAATAGAAAAGCAGGTCACAATGTTAGCTTTTTCCATTTCCCAAATTTTTTTTTCATACGTTTATTCGTCAACAAAACTCATCCATTAATTTCCCAAATCAAATGTAATTGGCAATTGCATTTAATTCTAAAGGAAATTCCACGCTTGCTCTATGCTGTGACCTTCAGAAGACATACACAGTGTAGAACACACAGCCCTACAGAAGCCCAGTGGGAAACATTGCAACAGGCCTATTTTCAAGCGCAGACTATTTGCTGTTTTCTGACAGTCAGACTCATCCAGAACCCAAAAACTGAGGGAACTCCAAATCATCAGTCGCCTGAAAAATCTCAGCCATGTAACTGTGTCTTAGTGTATAACATCTCACGGTCTTATAACTTTTCATCCCCAGCTGTTTGCATTGCTCTGGTAGAGAGGAATGCGCAGCACAGACCACCATGGGCATTTGTGGCCTACTTGACCTATGAAATGCTCTGACAGTGATAAAGACCTTTCAGTCTCTGGCCAGACTCTGAGCACCCTGATCTAGCTGTAGGCGTCCCTGTTCACTGCAGGAAGTTGGACCAGATGGCCTTTAAAGGTCCCTTCCAACTCAAAAGACTGTGATTCTGAGATTACCGCTATATCCCTTCCATGACCTCTGTGCGCTGGCTCTCAGAGAAATTACAAAGCAAGGCTCCAAAGAAGATGAGCACCCCGGTAGCCTGATGGAGTTGCAGCTTTATGTGTTAGTATTTAGAAAACAGTGTCAGTGTCTAATTAAACACACAGCGATATTAGGTGATTCTTGGTCCTCTTTCCCCTCCCACCCAAGAATGATGCCATTGTGCAAATCTCCCTTGCATAGCCTGACAAGAGGAGTTCACATAAATCAGTAAGAGATACGACACAAGAGGGTGTAATTTCTGTTCGTTTTCTAACAGAAAGATTAGAACTGCTAATAATAATCAAGGAGGAATCATCAGTGACTCCGATCCTTAGAGTTGCCTTGAGATTTACACTTAAAGCAACACTAAAATCCCTCACTTCGCACCTTAATGACTGAAATTAATCTCCAAAATTGGCACAATAACTCTTCAGAGGGTTCTCCCTGTAACCCTTTAGTAACATGTTTACAAAAGCGTGCAGGAAGTGTGCAAAAAAAAAAAAAAAAAAAAAAAAAAGCTCACTCTGCAGCTTTTCCCACATTCCAGTGGCTCACAGGTCCCACCACCCTAGGGTTAGGCCTCTGCCACCAGTATACCAGCATGATTACTGCCCACTCTGACCACAGGAAAATCAGTCCCCAGATGAGCAACCAAGGGGCTGAGAGGCTCCCTGCATATGTGCAACAGGGGCAGCATGAAGGCAGCGAGCTGTACGTGTGGGTGAAGTAACGCAAGATGAAAGATGCAGTGAGGGCTTGATGCATGATTTCCCTGGTGTGCGTGACTCCAATATGGAGAGAGAAAGAGAGCAAGATCATTTTAATTAATTTCTTTTGCTAGAATCACCTTTCAGCAAAGATTTTTGCTTATGTGGGTGTTTCTGGAGCTGCTTGTCATAGATCTGGAAGAGTCCATCCCTTCTGTGGCCCAGCACAGACACAGTGGTTGCAGTGCCCAAACGAAGCCATGTGGGTGCAAGATGCAGATGACATGGAGAAAACAGTCATTCTTCGCCCGTACCACAGGGCACACAGGCAGGAACAAAGCAGAATGGAATGCATTCTTGGGCACAGAGCAAGTCAGATCCAGAAGACATGGCTCCCTGTCCTATGCTCAGACCACTAGGTAACATCACCCATCCTAGAGATGAGGCTGCCAGCCCTGCAAGCTAATGGTGAGTGTTTCCAAGGCTGCTTGGCATAGGAAATAGAGCATTAAAACCACATCAGATGGCAAATTTAGGACCAGCAGAGAGATGATGACATTTTAAATGGTTTCAGCTAGTGATGGGGAAAGCCTGGAGAAGCAAATGTGGCAGGCTGAGGGGCTGTGGGGAGAAGCAGAGAGGGTGTCAGCTGAATTTTAGTCTGCCCTAAAGACAGCTCTGAAAGGGATGTGTTTAAAATCAGCACAAACTGCTTTGACTTCTGCCTCCAGTGTCCTGCTGGGAATCAGTTCCTCCTGCAGCTATGGAACGGGTGGGCAAATCTGGACAGAGTGCTGGCTCCATCCTCAGCGCTCCCTGCATCACACGTGCACAAACACACACAGGCACTCCCCTGTGCCCTGTCAATGCTTGTTACACTCCAATGCGACAAGCGGTCTGATTATCCCAACACCAACTGCCTCCCCCAGTAAGACAGGCTGTACAAATAAAGCAGCCTCTTTGCCATCCGCATCAGGGGGTCATCTCTGCAGCCCAGCATAAAAGCAAGGAAGGAAAGGAGAAATGGGATGCAGGTGGAATGTGGGGAGGAAAGGCGATGGGATATCTCTGCCTGGAAGGATTTGCAAGGTAAAAGGTATTTGGTGCAGGGTTAGGGGAGGGGATGCAGTCTATCCTCAGCCTCCTGGAAACTCAGCATAATATGAATACTGAGGCCAGTTCAGCAGTGCAATGGCAGTGAGGGGAAGCCTTTACCCCCCAGCTCTGCACGGTAAAGTAGCCTTCGTGTTCCCTGACAGACGGGATTACACAGCCTCTGGCCAGAGGTGCAGGCTGCAGGCACAGCTGCTGGCCCAGCTCTGCTTCACGCAAGAATGCTGCATTGCTGCATCCCAGCACGGCTGCCTGCAGCTCCAGCCACGTTACACGTGCAGTTTGGTGCACACAGCTCTGGTGCAACTCCCTGCTGCAGCTCCCTTCCCTCCCGCATGCCAGCTGCTGGACCAGGATGGGCAGACGGAAGAGTGGGTGGACTCAAAGGACAGGGGAAAGGGCGCTTAGGACCAGTGTCGCTATCTAAAAATGGGAGTTCTGACCTTCAGATGGCAAGTGATTGACAAAAAGAGGTAAAACCAGCACTAACTGCTGTTAATAGTTTCTTTCATTTGAGAGACTGAAATAGTGTACGCTTTTTTTTTAATGAGAAAACTGCAGTTGATCCCTTCATCTTCTGATGTAAACCTCCATTCTCCAAACCCATGGGAAGCTTAAAATAATACAGATATTATTTCTCCATACTGTTGCTGACATTTCCATGCCTGCCTCTGCCTCAGAGGACAGCCAATACATGCACACATCCATCCAGACCCAGCTGTGAGGACATGAGGTCTCTCCAGATAAGGCAGGCTCCAGGGGACATCAAATACAATTTCTCATTCCCAAAAAGATCATAAAATTACAAAATGGTTTGGGTTGGATGGCACTTCAAAGCCCACCCAGTTCCACTCCCCTACCCTGGGCAGGGCTGCCACATACTAGCTCAGGCTGCCCAGGGCCCCATCCAACCTGGCCTTGAGCCTCCAGGAATGGGGCACCCACAGCTCTCTGGGCAAAAGATGAGAATAGGCTCTGTGTGGGCCC